CTTTGGTTAAGTTAATTTCTAGGTATTTTATTTTTTGTGGGGTTATTACGAATGGAGTTGCTTTCCTGATTTCAACTTGTTCAACCACTTTGGAAAGTAGTATGGAGGCTCCTCAAAAGACTCCACATAGAGCTCCCCTATGACCCAGCAATCCCACTTTTGGGCATTTACCCAAATGATCACAAAGAAGACCATACTAAAGCTCCCAGCACAACTAGGTTTATTGCAGCATTATTTACCATAGCTACGATATGGAACCAACCCAGATGTCCCTAAGTAGATGAATGGATCAAGAAAATGTAGTATATATACACAATGGAATTCGATGCCTCCATCAGAAAGAATGACATTGCCCCATTTTTTAGGAAATGGAAAGACTTGGAAAAAATTATATTAAGTGAAGTAAGCCAGACCCAAAGAAATAGGTCCCATGGTTTCCCTTATTTGCAATAACTAGTATATGTCTGAGTCAAGCAGAAAAGGTCAGATAAGTTGATGTTAGGTGAAATGAACCCCAAGATAAGGATTCAAATGTTTTTTCTTTCTTGTGATTGTTTCTAACATATTTATAAGAAGATTTCTTTGTTGCTTTGTATGTTCCTCCCCCACAGTATAACCCCTGCTTTCATTGTATTTGATGGTGGTATAATTTGTGGAGGGGAAGGGCAAAAATAAACCATTTAAATAGGGATACAGGTGGACCCATTGCAACAATGAGATATACAAGTTGTTATGTTGAAAAATGAACTTTACAACTTTGGCTGGGCAGGGCGGGTGGCGGGGGGCAGGGAGATGGAAAAGGAATGGAAGGGGAAACAAAGGAGGAGGCAACAATGCTTGATAAGAAATGTACTCATTACCTTGCCCATGTCATGGTAACCCCTCTGTATGATATTTTCACAATAAAATTTTTTTTTAAAAGTGGACTAAAGATGTAAAGAGATAAGAAATATAGTTGTTATCTTGCCCATGTAATTGTAACTCCTCTGTATGGTATTCTCACACACACAAAAAAAAAAGACAAAGAGAAACTTCTCTGAATACGAAATAAGAATGTCCCATAGACACATGAAGAAATGTTCAACCTCTCTAGCCATAAAATAAATGCAAATCAAAACAACATTGAGATTCTACCTCACCCCAGTTAGAATGGCTGTAATCAAGAACTCTAATAACAACAGATGCTGGAGGGGATGTGGCCAGGAGTCTTTGAATCTTTAACAATAATCATGTTTCTTCACTGTAAGATATATTAAAAATGTTGACATATGCAATATGTTATCAATATGGAAGATGCAGCTTTAAAGATTATAAATTTTTTCTTTTTTCTTTTTTGGGTCCAGTCGTGGGGCCTGAACTCTGGGCCTGGGCGCTCTCCCTTAGCTCTTCAGCTCAAGGCTAGGGCTCTACCACTTGAGCCACAGCACCACTTCCGGATTTTTTCTTTTTGGTTATGTGGTGCTGAGGAATCGAACCCAAGGCCTCAGGCATGCAAGGCAAGCACTCTACCACTGAGCCACCTTCCCAGCCTCCTATAAAAATTTTCTTATGGTGTCTTTGGAATTTAAATAAATTATGTCCCAATAAAGGAGCCTAATGTAATTTCTAATTATCTAAAATCTTGGAAAAAAATGTTAAACTTCTAGTCTTTAAAAAATTCATTCTTGACATATTCATTAAGACAAATTAAAAAAGATTTAGCTACGTTCCTTTAAAAAAGTTGGTATTGTATAACTGTTATACATTATCCTCCCTAATTTATTTTCATTCTTGGACCTTCAAATCATCTTGTAATAAATATGAAAATTTGTTAGTATAAAAGTGAGTTCATGATTTTGTCACTTTGGAAACAAAATTAACAAATATTTTCCTGTGACTTAATAGGAACTGTCATTCTTGTATACACTTCTGAACTTTATAACTTGTAACAAATATATTGCTATCATACAAAATGTTTTTAAGATTATATTGAAAGCACTAAATATGTACATGGTTGTCTAAAATATGTGGATTGTTTTTTTAAAATTGATATCCATGCATCCATATTGCATTGAAAACATACTCATCAGACTTATATGCACTTTTTAGAAAGCAAGTTTAAAAATCTGGAATTTTTTTTAAAGTGATATGACTTGGAAGAGAATCTTAAGCATGCTAATCATACCTTATCTGAACTTAGCAAGGACTTTTAAACTAATTTAGAAAACAAAAAATTCCCTGCAGTTTGAATGCTCCTTCTGAAATATATTGCAATATAAATGCAATAACTTAATGGTTACCATTTGGTTACCATTTACAGAAAATTGCATTTCTTTTAGATCATTGTATTGAACATTCAAATTACTGAACAATACATAATATTACAGTTTACATTTTTTGAAAACAAAGTGAAGGAGTATTTATGTCACCTTAAATATAAGATGATGAGTTTAAAAGGGTTTCATATCTCTTTTAATACCTTTAATTTATATTAATGGTTCAGGAATGTTTTAGATATATATATGTAAATATATATCTATATGTGTATATATTTCAACAAGAAATGTAAGTATCTTTAAAACCAGAACATAGCACTGGTAGCTGCTTTACATATGGAGGTCTTAGGGTCATTAAGGTCAAGCTACTACAGTTACAGTAAGTATACTTTTAAAAAGACTGAAAACGGCAGCAAACTTGCTGAAATTCTTATTAGAAGTCCATTTCTTTAAATCCTACTGATGTGTCAATTCAAGGTGTAATTCACTTTACAGAAAGCATTTGTCCCTTCCACTTGGATTCACTTCTGGAAGTCTCTATGTTCCTTGATCTTGTATGAATAGCATCATTTTCCATGTCAGTTAAAGATCAGGAAAACAGCTGGGGTCTTCCTTGTAGTCATCAGACATGATAAAGATAGAGCCAACAAACTCATCATATTGAAACTGATCATGGGAAATACAGGCTTATCTAATTTTACAGGAAGCTTCATTTCAACAAATTCTCTAAGCTTGTTAAATTGCTTGAAGGGAGCTATTACTTCTAGAACATTCAATAATAATTCAATCCCTATGGGAAATTCCTGGCTCATGGCTCTTGTGGTTTTAAATGTCTTCTTACTTTCTTTGGACACTAGTTCTTTCCCCAGATGAAGATATATACTCTTCCCAAGTAAAAGTTTTCTGAGGAGGAGGGGTAAGGGACTCTTCGAATAGGTTCAAAATTCTGTTCCGTTATGTTTCCACCATTACTCAAACTTTCCATGCCTTATTTCGAAGAATATCCACTTTCCTAAGATGTTCTCTTCTTTTCCTTGATTCTAAAACAAGTCCATTCACCAGATAGAAGTCTGCCAAAAACTTTCCTACTCTCTGTTTTGTCTTCTCCAAAAGGCATCTGGTTAGGGAACATGTGAAAGAAATTGATTTGGTTGATGAAGTTGCAGAATATCACTGCTCATTAAAATGTCAACCTCTTCTTTTGTGTCCATCTCTGATTTATCATGGTATATCTGCTGATAAACCTTTGTTCATTGTCTAATACCACAAAAGATTCAGAGGGTGCCACATACTCATTGAAAATGAAGCTCAAATCCCTCGTTAGCACTTCATGTCAGTAAAGTCTATGAGAGTTGTGTCAAGCCTGATATTGATAGCTTGTTTGTATATTTTACATGCATCAGCAGGCAGAATTCAGGAAAATAAAGGCAACCAGCTTCAAAAAGTATTAGATAAAATAGATATTAGCTCTTTCAAGATTTTCAATAATCCAGGTGGTTTTTCTTCAACACTTTCTCTGGATTGCTGCTTAGGTTTACTTAAAAGAGCTGTAGCCGTCTATCTCCATTGCTGATGGCTTTTGCCAGAGATCTCCATCCCTCAGCACTTTGCGCTTTTACTGGAGCATTGTGAGCCAAAAAATAATTTCTTTATTTCCTAACAGCACAGCAAGCTGTAAAGGAGTGTTTCCATGATTACCCTTCTGCCCCATCCTGTGCGTGCGGATGGGGGAGGAGAGTCTCCTCACCACCCCCTTTAAGATGCACTGGTGCACCAGATAGTGTGCTGGGCAGTTGAGTCTCCACAGCCTTAGGGTTGGTGCCAGCCACAGGAGCTGCAGCTGGTGCCGATGGTTACTGACGATCTCATGGCAGGTTTGGCAGCCCTTGCCCACTCCTGTGGTGAGGTTAAAGGTAGCCTCCACTTCCTCATCGCCAGGCTCCAGCAGGTGGCCCTCCTCCTCCTTGCTGGGCTTGTGGTCCCTCCGCAGTGAGTGGATCTTCTCCCTGTCTTCACCTTCACTGGGGGACCTTGAGGGGATTTCAGAGGCTCACTGTGAGCTGCTAGCTGAACCGGGTAGCTGTAGCTGCGGTGGCACAGGTTGCTTAGAGCTGCAGCCTGGGGCATGGGGCAAAGCATGAACTACCAGAGTGCCCCGGGGGGCCACATCTCCCGGATAAGCATCATTTTGTATGCGCATATTTTCATAGCTATTGAGCCTTTGTGATCCTCTCCTAAGAATATCCTCCTTTGGTCTCACTGCCCAGAGATTTGGGATAACTAGAAGAGAATAACAAAATATAGGAAATCAGCTGGTGAATGTTGGCAATGCTGTTTTACTGATAATCTAATTAACTAAAATTTAATGGTCTTTATAATTAATTTTATATTATATTGTTAATAGAATTGTATGTAATATTTTACATTATTAATATTTGGCTACTTCAAGTGAATACTGTATACTAACTGAAATAGAATTATTATTATTTATATTTATATTTTGTTATTTTTTGGTGGTTGTGTGCTTTGTTTCTAGTTTATTTCTAGAGAAAGTCTCATTTTTTTGTCAAGATGGACTTTAACCAAATCTTTTCTGCCTCTTAAGTAGGTAGGATTACTATGTCACATACATGCCTGACAAATTATTTGTAAAATATCCACAACACAAGGCCATAGTGATGCAAACAGCCTAAGTATAATCCGTACTAACATGAATATAAAAGAACATAAGTAAAATGGCATATTTTAAGAGAAGAACAGGGACTTTATAAGAGAAATCTGAGTGATAAAATGTGAATTTATGTTTACAAACTTACACTTTGAATGGTAGATGCTCCTCACCAGCTTACATATTGCCCCCTTCACATCCTTATTCCTCAGGGTGTAGATGAAGGGGTTGAGGGTAGGAGTCACCACTCCATAGAAGAGAGCCATGAACTTGGGCTGGTCCCTTGTGATGGAGGAGGGAGGCTGAATGTACATGCTAATGGCTGGACCATAAAATAAGAAAACTACAATGAGATGAGAGGAGCATGTCCCAAAGGCCTTTTTCCTTCCTTCAGAAGATTTAATCTTCAGTATAGCACGTCCAATGCTAGCATATGAGGCAAGTATTAAACACAGAGGAACAGCTAAGAGAAGAGTGCATACTAAAGAGAGTGTGAGTTCATTGGCTTTCTTCTCACCACAGGCAGTCTTAATCAGAACCGGAATCTCACATAACAAGTGATCCAGTATATTTGTGCCACACAGGGGCAACTGTAATGTGAGAGTGGCCTGTGAGACAGCTATGATCACTCCACACAGCCACACAGTGGACACTAACAGAATACAGAGGCGCTGGTTCATGATAAGGGAGTAGTGCAGAGGTCTGCAGATGGCCACATAGCGATCAAAGGACATAAGAGCCAAGAGGAAACATTCTGTGCCTCCCATTATGCTGAAGAAATAAAGCTGAACCACACACCCCACGTAGCTGATGGTCTTCTTAGAGCTGCCCAGGTTAAACAGCATCTGAGGGACGATGCTGGTGGTGTAACACATGTCCAAAAAGGAGAGGTTGTTGAGGAAGAAATACATGGGGCTGTGGAGCCGGGAATCTAATCTGGACACCAGGATGATGATGATGTTTCCCATCATGGCCAAGGGGTATGTGATCAGAAGAACAATGAACAGAGGAAGCTCCAGCCAGGGTCTGTCAGTGAATCCTAGTAGAATGAACTGCTCAGGGTGACTTTCATTAATGAGAGCCATTCTCTTCAGTTTTTTCTGCAGTAATAGGGTAGGTTAATGATGTTAGCATAGACAGAAATGACACATTAGTAAAATAATATGTAAAATGGAATAGTAATGTCAGTTTGAACTACCATGAAGGATCTGCCACCAAGTGATTTAAATTTCCTTCCTGACACTAAACACTAAAGGAAGCTAGGTTAAATGAGTAATCCAATCACTACAAACACACTGAATTTCTTCTTCTGTAGTGACAATGGCTAAAGAATTGCGATAGTGATAGAATAAAATAACTTAAGAATACTTAAAAACAGGGAAAAACAATTACCTAAATAGGTGCACCCTGCTCAGTTTAGTTAGTTGAAAAATTATGTCACCTCTGCAGGGAGGAAGAAGATTTTTGAATTTAAACAAATCTATTCTTGGCGTTTGAAATTAAGGAAGAAATAAAAAACTGATTATGTCATATTTCTAGATTTTTTTCATATTCTACTCACTTTCAAAGTTGGAAATCTTAAGTTTCTGAAGATTCTTCAAGAAAGATATTTTTTTGCATGATACTTCTCCATAATTGTTTGCTCAAGCTTTGGTATTCAATATTGTATGTTGAATGTTCATCACTTTTCCGTTCTGTACAGATTTTTCTTTATCAAATGACATTTGTTTTCTGTTAGCCTAAGTTCAACTGCTGGTAATCCTGTCAAAACAGATTCTTATTAAGGCTAAGTGGCATTGAATCTAAAAGTTATTTTGCATGTTCATAATATATTTCTTTGACTTTATCTAAAAATGACATTAATATAAGGATGAAAGGAAGAATGGAGTGCGTTAGAAAAGGAAAAGTTAAATTTCATTTACCCGTTTGCCTTCATTAGTGTTTCAGAGAAAGTACAATTTTCTGTAAAACGATGGATATTTGGATGTCAAGTTAAGGTAACATCTCACTGATAATATTCATTGTTATTCTTGTAGTCAGAGAGTTGATTGTTCTAGATTATATTATGAGGGCTACAAGATAAAATTTCCTTATATTTTATTTGAATAAATACTCAAAATTACCCTATGAGCTGCCATCTAAAGTGACTCTGTGCCAAGATGTGAACCGTGCCTTTGATTATACATTATTATGAAGTAAAAATGATAATGTGGTAACTCTTACACTAATAAAATAATAATTCCAATAAGTTCTTAATGTGACATTTATGCTAAACTCTTCCATAAAACTTTTCATCTTTTCAAATCATCTATTGTTCATCCCAAGTATTACAAAATAGAACATGCTATATTCATATGTTCGGCTATTTTGTAAGACCAGTGCTCTAACCCCTGAGCTATAGGGCTGGACTCTTAGGCTGCTTTAAAATATATGCTCTGGTATTCTGCTTTAAAAAAAAAAACTAGGCATAATCTAAGTATCAACCAGTTCTCTATGCCTTAAGTGAGATATTATGATCATCAACGAACATGGCACTTTGATAGTCTCCAGAAAGCATCTGTATTCCAAGAATGTCACCTGAAGTACTACGTTCCTTATATTGTTTGACCTCAATGATCAAAATGTAATGTGTCTGCAGAAAACTAAAAGTGAACCCCAGCTTATCACCATGCACCAACATCAATTCAAAATGGATTAAAGACCTTAACATTAAACCTGAATCTCTGAAACTACTGCAGGACAGAGTAGGAGAGACACTTGAACTAATAGGCACAGGAAGGAACTTCCTGAACAGAGTCCCAGGGTCACAACAAGTTGGAGAGAGACTCGACAAATGGGACTACCTTAAAATAAAAAGCTTCTGCACAGCTAAATCTATCGCAACCAAGCTAGAAAGACAACCAACTAATTGGGAAGAAATATTTACCAGCAATATATCAGACAAGGGGTTAACATCCTGTATATACAGGGAACTCAAGAAACTAATCCCTCCCAAACCTAACAAACCAAGGGAACTAAAGAGGGACTTCTCAAATGAAGAAATAAAAATGGCAAAGAAACACATGAGAAAATGTTCATCATCCCTGGTGGTGAAGGAAATGCAAATAAAGACAACCCTGAGATACCACCTTACCCCAGTCAGAATGTCCCACATCCACAAATCAGCCAACGACAAATGCTGGAGGGGATGTAGAGAAAGAGGAACCCTATTACACTGCTGGTGGGAATGTACACTTATACAACCACTTTGGAAAGCAGTCTGGAGGGTCCTTAGAAAGCTAAAGATTGACCTCCCTTACGACCCAGTCATACCACTTCTAGGCATCTACCCTGAACAACAGGAACCAATATACAAGGACACGTGCACCTCCATGTTTATTGCAGCACTGTTCACAATAGCTAGGATATGGAAACAACCCAGATGCCCCACCACAGATGAATGGATCCAAAAATTGTGGTATCTATACACAATGGAATATTATGCAGCCATTAGAAATGACAAAATAACGGCATTTGCAGGGAAATGGATGGAGCTAGAAGGAATCATGTTGAGCGAGGTAAGCCAAGAGCAAAGAGACAAACGGTACATGGTCTCCCTGATAAGTGGATGCTAAATCCAAAATGTTAGGTGATACGACAAAACTAACAGGACTTAAGAAACAAAGAACTCCCACTCATCTGGTCGAACCACTACTAAATATCGCCATGCTGCTGATCACATGTATGGTGTATATGTGTACACTGTTAAATGTTATAGACTGTGATAGACAATTTGCTCCAGGAAAGTTAGAATGAACTTGTGACTTTAAATGAGCATCATTAGTCCACAGTACTATGAAATTTGGGAAATTATGTAATCACTTAATCACAATTAAAAAAAAAAAAGAACCTCAAGAAAGGTGGGGAGGGAAGGGATGGTAGGGGGAAAACAATGGAGGGGGTAACAATGCTCAATAGGAAGTGTACTCATTACCTTACTCATGTAACTGTAACCCTCTGTATGGTATCTCTACAATAAAAAATAAAAAAATATTTTAAAAAATGTAATGTGTCCACAGTCGATTTAGGATCATCTTTAACTTCAACTGTTTTTCCTGAGTATTCTGTTTTGTACATGAGACATAAAGTAAAAATATATTGTTAATTAGGTTGATTATGAAATGACAATACTGCAACTTATCCATGCAATAGAAAAATTGTAATACTATACCTACTATGAATTTATTTAGTTTCTTGTATCATAATATACTAACTTAAGTCATCCCATCAACTTTTTAAAGAGAAATCAAAAATTTAAGTATCCACCATTTTTCTAAAATTCCTTTGATCTAATCCTAAAAACAATGTTCATTCAGATTGTCTCAGCAATTATAATAAATTTGTATAGTTTGAAATTTGTAGTTTAATTTTGTATACAAAAACTAAACAATTCTTTTAGATTGCTAAGAGCAGATTTGTTTGTGAGTGGTAATTCCTTTGAGACTTTTGCAGTTAAAGTCTATATTTCTACCTTTGGATTTCTCTTGTTTTAAGTTTTTTTCATGCTATTTCATTATGTTTACCTTTTGAATTGTGTATGTTCAACTATTTTTAAAACCACTATGCCAATGCCCAGAGATCTATTCATCCAGGAATATTCAACATTTCTTTAATAAATCACCTGGCTGTAACATCTTGTCTGTATTTTCACACATTTTTATTCTACTACACCTTATTCATACTTTATTTTCATCACCCTGTATTTCATTTATATTTATAGCACATTTTAGGTTATAGGCTGTAAAGCATAAGAAAAAAAAGAAAAGAAATTTTGAGACCATAGTAATTGAATGAAACACATAAAGAAGTCTATTCATCAAATTTTGAAAATATATTTTAGAAACTGAAATGACCAAAGACTTCATACATTGAAAATGTGGGCATTTTGTATCTAGGGAAAATAGTCCTTGCTGAAAGTCAAATACTTTTTAAGTGAGAGACTAAGAAAGAAATTAATTACAAAGAATAGTCTAATTGCTCCTAGGAGCCACTGAATGGAGGCTTCCCAAAATTTAGAAGAGACTCTCTGAAATACAATGCTATTTTCTTTTTAAAAAGTTTTTACCCAGGCTGGGAATGTGGCTTAGTGGTGGAGTGCTTGCTTAAAATGCATGAAGCCCTGGGTTCAATTCCTCAGTAACGTGTAAGCAGAAAAAGCCAGAAGTGTTGCTGTGGCTCAAGTGGAACAGTGCTAGCCTTGAACAAAAGAAATAGGGACAGTGCCCAGGCCCTGAGTTCAAGCCCAGGACTGGAAAAAAAGAGCTTTTAACCTTTTCTTTTTAGTATTATCTTTAAGTAGTTGTACAAAGGAGTTTCCATTTAACAAACCAGTTTATGAATATAATATATCTTGATCAATGTCACACCTGCCAACATTCTCACACATCCTTCCCCTACCCATTCCTTCCATCCCCCTTCCTCCTCCTCCTCCTCCTCTTTCTTCTCTTCCTCCTTCTCCTCCTCCTCTTCCTCCTTGTTCTTCTTCTTCTTCACCAGTTTTGGAGCTTGATTGAACTCAGGGCCAGCACACTGTCCTTGAGACTCTCTATGATCAAGGCTCTACTACTTGAGCCATAGCGCCACTTCCAGCTTTTTCTGTTTTCTGGTACTGAGGAATCAAACTGAGAGCTTCATGCATGCTAGCTTCATGCACTCTACCACTAAGCCACATTCCCATCCCCTCACTCTTCTTAATTTTGTAGAATATACATGAGATTCTTGTTTGTTTGTTTTTTTTAACTGCATTTGTTTTTGTCTTTTCTTTTTTGGTACTGGGGATCGAACCCAGAACGTTGCACTTGCTAGGCAAGCATTTTGCCACTGAGCTACATCCCAGCCCTACATGAGATTCTTGACTGCATTCTCACTTTCATTTATGTTCTGCTCTTCCCTTGTTTCCTCCCCACCCCTTTTCAAGACCCAGCTTAATTTTAATTTTCCTTAATTTTTTTTAAGTTAAACAAGTGAAGGGAAAGAATTATTTTATTATTGTCAAGGTGATATTCAGAGGGGTCACAGTTACATAAGTAAGGGAATAAGTACATTT